CACAGACACAGACACAGACACAGACACACACACAGACACAGACACAGACACAGACACAGACACAGACACAGACACACACACACACACGCGCGCGATCACACAAACAAACATACACATACACGCAGACGACACTCACACACAGGGACACTCACAGAGACACACACACACAGACTCACACAGACACGAATAGACACTGACAGACACGGACAGACAGAGCTCGAAACAGACCGAGACGGACAGACATAGACAGAGACAGACAAGGACAGGCACAGACAGACAGATGTTGTCCAGCCGTTTACCATTGTACGAGAGTGTTTTGTAGCCTTTCTCGGCCACTGACGCCCACTACAGCACTTAGCAATTCCCCACGTTTGATGGCTTACCATGATGTGCAGTCCTTGGCCAGGCTCTCACTAACCTACGCGCGGAAGTGACGTGGATGTTGAGGAGGTGTGGTCTCATCGCTTGACACAAGCCCAGAACATTAGGAGACACTATGAGCTCCGTCTAGTTCCATGAAAAGGTTGTATACTATTGGAGTGACTTGAAGCAATGCAAGCTCCGGGGAGGACCTGGGTCCTGGAGCGCTCGGCGCACTCCTCGCTGGCCTGCAGTGAGTGCCTATCATGCTCCTGGACTTGTAGCCCAAGACATATCATAGCTACATCATCTTGCATCTCGGGAAGGTAGCACAGACTTCAGTGATTCATCGCCGGCCTGCCTTACTAGGCTACCTGAAGACAAGGATTCCGCGTGTTTACCTGGTACCACCGGCAAAAAAGGAGCCCCGCAGAATGGCTGCAGCGTCAGCATTAGGCACGGTGACTCTAGGATCTTTCCTTTTGTTTGCAGCTGTCCTGATTAATGACATGCCTGCTTCATAGCTTTGTGTGAGTACGGAGAGGATATACTCTGGGAGAGGCATCAGTGCAGTGCCGGAGCTACAGACTATGCGATGACTCTGCTCTGGCAGTGACGCGAAGATTTGACTTAGAATCAAGCCGAAAAAGGCTTGGATATAGCCGGCATTAGCCGGCAAGCTGGCAATTATTCATCGAAACCATGCTGCGGGTTGTGTGCACGCATGTCTGCTGACCTTCTGCCAGCTCGGGGTAGGGTGTCGGGTTCGGAGCCCCTTTCAGCCAGTTCTCTGAGATCGCCGCTGAGGCCAAGGCGCTCTCAGCATCGCTGGTTTCTTGGGTCTTTCGCTGTCGCAGACGCCCGCGCGACGCGCGTAGAACGTCACTGCGAAGAGCGACAGTGACTCGCCCGGGGTCCGCGTTTCGTGCGCCGTGGCCATGGCCATGGCGGGAAGCGGACGAAGGAATGCGCCGAATGCGCTTCCGCTTTAGCTTTAGCTTGCGATGTTTTCTTTGCCCCTGGTTGATTCTTCCGGAGGTGCATGAGTCCTCATGTCTTCCTTTGATGGCCTGTCAAGAGAAGAGCTGATGCAGAAGGCACGGTGCAGCACAACCAGTTTGGGTTCTGACTGAGAAATTGTTCTTCACTTGAGAGGCCCTTGAAGTCCCGTTTGCAGGGGTGGTTCGACATTGCAGTCTGCTTTGCCTTACGGCCTGAGTGAGGGTGTAGAGAGATATTTCCCTCAAGAGAGGTCGTGGAGCTACAGCAGTGCTTGGCGGAGTTGTCAGAGAAGGCTGGCAGGTTTTTTTGGTGCTTGTGAGGCAAAGATGGAGCCCGCTCCTCGTCAGGTGGACACGGTAAAGGGTGAAAACACCCAGCTCCGAGACGAGAACGGCGTCCTCAAGGATTACCTGAACAACCTGATGGCTAAGGCCTGCAATGTTGGCTGGTTTGCGTGCCCACAGGTGCTTGACTAATGCGTGGTCCGTCAGTACTGCAACGGGGAGAGACAATCCACAAGTCGGTGTACTGAAGAAAGTCCATCGAACATGCAGATGCTCGTCCAAGAGCTCCCGATGCGCGTGCTAATCTTTCCGAGGATTTATTGCCGGCCGTCCCGCATCTCGCAATCTAGGACGTTGTGATATTTCAGGCTTGAAAGAACAAGCGTAGGGATGTGGATAATTCCAAACAAGTGCAAAATGTAACATGACTGTGTCCGCTATCCGTACACTGGGGTGCACGCTCATTGCAGAGAAGCTCGCAGAATCAGAAAGTCTTTTCCTGACTTGCTGGTTCACCAGGTTGGATCAATGCCGAACCTGGGGACCACTGCTCCAAGCCGTGTGATGCTTCAGCAGAATCCTGATGGCGCGCAGCCAGCCGCTTTGGATTGCAAGCAGTGAGTCCAGGACTGCTAAAGCAGATGAGTCGACGGATGCGATTGATAGCAAGGTATCCTCATGACTCAGATACCAGTCGCCGCAGCACTTTGCAACACTCATCCAGGTCAAGGTCAATGACCATATTGGCGAGCTGACTGCACCTGCCATGGAC